GCTCCTGAGCTCAAGTGATCCTCCTACTTTGGGCTCTAGTGTTCCACCCAGCACTCCCAAAGTGCTGGGGTAACAGGCATGAGCCACTGCACCCAGCCAACACAGTATTCTACATATCAATATATGCAGTAGGACATTTATTTAATATTTTCAAAGATGATTATGATGAGTTCCTGAATTTGAACCAGCCTCCAGTGAATGCATCCTGGAATACCTTTTGCTTTCTTTTAGCCTAGAGTTTATCTGTTTTCACATGACATGAAAATAGCATGACCTGGGTAATTCATTTGACAAGTATTTACCTAGGACTGGTAAGTGCTTTTTATTGTTACAAGTAGAAGAAGACTATGCCATTATGCTTGTAGGTCTTTAAAGGACCTACAACCTAGTTGGAAATAATTTTAGAATGGGATCAGATAGTATATAACATGATATCAGCATACTCATATTAAAGACCCTACTTTGTCTCTTTTTCTATTTTTTTAATGCCTTAGATAAAAAGATGTGAGGGATCCTTGTTAAATATCTGGGAGACACAATGCTGGGAGTGAGAAATGGAAGACTAACATTGACTGATAGATAGTGATGCAGTAAACAAGAGCATTGTGCTGAAACTAACAAATTGAAATTAACAAGAATAAATAGAAAGCCTTGCATTTAGTTTCAAAACTTCAGTAGCATAATTACAGGATGGAAGAAAGCTGTAATGTCCACATTCAAAAAAAGTCAGTTAGCTTTTTATTTGATCTACACTATCATTAATACCTTAAAATACTATGAAGTACCAGGTACCGTGTAGGCACCGGGGGACCTTACCACCTGATGCACCGGCAAATGCAAATCTATTGGTCTGTAATGTACAGCTGGAGGAGAAAATAAGCCTACTTCATAGATCTTATCAAGAGGAGACACAACACTCTAAGAAGGTCATATTTGATAAAATAGCCTGTAGACGAGGGAGACTAGAGTGGTGAGTGACAGAGAAACCAGGCTGTTCAGAAATACTGAGTGACCACAGGATGTTTAGTCTAAAGAAGAAAAGATTATAAGACTTTGATGGCTGTTTTCCAGCCTTTGGAGAGCTGTTGTGTGACCACAGTGGAGCCTTAAGACTTCTTTTGGGTTATTTCAGTTGGACCAATGAGGTGAAAGTTAGAAAGGGGCAGCTTCATGTTGATGTCTTAAAAGTTTTCCTGCCAACCTTGGAAAAGCCTGCCTCTAAAATTGCAAGATTTCTAAAAAAGCTATATTTTCAGTGACTAGAGTAGATGATCTCTAAGGATTCCTCTAATGCCAATTTTTTTTTTTCATTTTTATTTTCCAAATTAAGTGGGAAGTAAGAGAATTTTTCATAATACCTTCCTGAAGCCTTCAGACCTGCAAGAATTTTGCCAGCCCACAATTAATGAGTATGTTTCTCCATCTTCGCCACCTTCACTGGCTAAAACAACCTTGATTTAGTGAACAGAATGTCATAGTAAATATACTCCAACCATTAAATTACACCACTGACCCACTTAGGGCAAAACAGTTATTAAAATCTAAACTGTGTCTCCATTCATTCACCAGTTGGATATGTAAATACCAGTGCTGACCAGAACATACAAGAAGGGGAAAATCTTGCCTCAAAGTGAGGTAAATGGTGAGAGGAAGTTGACAGACCAGAGCCTAAGAGGTGGAGCACATAGAAGCTTTCACATACTGTCTGCAGCTCAAGGGGGAGTACTGGTGCCCTGAGCTGTGCAAATGCCAGAGGAAGGGAGGCACCTCTCAGCTCCCTGGAGCTACCCTAATATTTACTGTGGTGGTGTCTCCCAAGCTTCACAGTTCAAGCCAGCATCTTCAGAACACCTGCTATGATTTTAGGTGAGCCCAGATGTCATCACACAGTTAAGAAGAGAAACCATTACCACATTCTCAGCTGGCCATTTCTATTGTTCACTTCTGACCAAGGAATACTTGGCCCAGACGGTTGCCTTCAGTGCAACAAAATGTACAGTTCTAGGGGAGAAAGACCAATCAAATACTTCTGTCAATAAGTTGCTGTCACCAAAAACTATGAATTTACCTCTTTATTTTTTGCCAAATACATCATTTTGACATCATGTTAATTTTCCTGGGGAATCACTGTTTAAAACAGGGAAGTTTTACTGACTTTAAAATTGGCATAGGTTGACAAATAAACATAGATACAAGCCCAGTTTTTATTATTACCATTAACTAGAAGTCTTGTTACAGTGAGACAAGATATCTTGTTTTTAAGTTGAAGTGCCTAAATAATCAAAGTTATTTTGAATGATACTAACAGCCACTTGGAAAAATCTGGTTAAAACATGGAGTTAAACTAAAAGATAAGATTTGTTGCATGATTGCAGAGTTATAGAGACTTTACAAGACTTCAAATAGTTACCGACAGTGATGCTTTTATACAGTGAGCAGGAATAGTAAGTAACATATTAATGTCTTGTAACTTTGTCAAGCTAAAAAATCATAATTATAGGGCTAGATACCGTGGTTCATGCCTGTGATTCTATCACTTTGGGAGCCCGAGACAAGAGGATCACTTGAGTCCAGGAGACCAGCCTAGGCAACATAGTGAGATCTTGTCTCTACAAGAAAAATCAATCAAAAAATTGTCCAGGTGTGGTGGTGCCTGTAGTCCCATCTACTCCAGAGGCTGAGGTGGGAGACTTGCTTGATCCCAGGAAGTCGAGGCTGCACTGAGCTGTGATCATGCCACTGCACAACAGCCTAAGCGATTAAAGAGACCTCGTCTCAAAAACTGAAACAAAAAAAGGATCATAATTATGAAGGGGGAAAATGTGATATAGGTATTATGTATATAAAAGCATAAGGAGAAGCACCATTATTTCTCGTGAAGCCAAGTGCCTTCTATGAATCCATTGACAAGAAGGGTGCTGAGCAGCTAGTGATAATGGTGATAACTGAGAGGAAAATGGCAGAGCAGAGCCAATTCCCTTTTTCCAACTCATTTAAGGACTCGCCCACTATTGTGTTTAGACACCCAGTACACCCAAAGGCTAAGGTTGCTTCCATACAACATATTCAAATAAACCATTCCAAGGTAGACTTATTTTTTACTTGTAGAAAGAGCAACATTTTGCAGATGAGTTTAGTTTGGTTTGTCTCCGTCAATCAATTTTAAGCCAAATGTGTAAACCATTTTAACACGAGATGAATCATGAGGCACCTCAGAAGTAATATCAATACGCCAGCTACACTGAATCTCTTTAACCTTCACAGCAACCTTACAAAGTAGTTACTCTTACTATCCTGCTTTAACAGAGTAGGAAACTAAAGGGGTTTTGAGGAATTTGTCCAAGAACATACGGCTAAGAATTGGTAGAGGAGGGATTTGAACTCACCTTGGCTGTTGCCAAATCCAAGTACTTGATCATTAGACTTACCACCTCCCCAGTAATGTTACATAAGTAAAATTAATCACATGCCTACTGGGTGCCAGGGACTGTGTTAAGCCCTTTATATACATTAGCATGTTCGCTTTGATAGTTGAGACATTTGGACACAGGTTAGAGGAATAACAAAAGAACCACTAGGTCGACTGTCCTATGTGTCTTTGACATAACACCCTAGCTTGGATGTATCTCCGTGTTACTTGAAATTGCAAGATTTTAGCAAAATGAAGTTATTTTGTGATTTCTTCCTTGCAGAGGTGGAATGGTGCAAACCAGTGAGCAGTATGAATTTGTGCACCATGCTCTGTGCCTGTATGAGAGCAGACTTTCAGCAGAGACTGTTCAGTGAGTCATTGAAGGCTTGTCAGACCATCAATCTCTTGATGTGGGTGATTAGTCAAATTACCCACCCAAGGCTTCTAGAAGGAGCTTCCTGCAATGGAGGGAAGGAGAGGCTTTGAAGACAACGTATGGCATGGATTGTGGAAGACTGGGCAACATATTTAAGATTGCCAGCTCCTTGTGTATATGAATGCATTTGTAAGCATCCCCCGAATTATTTCGAAGGTTTTTTGATGATGGAGGTAAGATAGGTTTCTTACACAGCCTAAGGCAGATTTTGTTTTGTCTGTACGAACTCTATCTGCCACACAGAATGTATGTATGTAATATTCAGTAATAAATGTCATCAGGTGATGACTGGATGAGCTGCTGAAGACCTTCGTATTATGTGTTAGATGCTTTAATGTTTGCAAAATCTGTCTTGTGAATGGACCGTCAGCTGTTAAACTGTTCCTGTTTTGAAGTGCTATTACCTTTCTCAGTTACCAGAATCTTGCTGCTAACGTTGCAAGTGGTTGATAATGGATTTTTAACAAATAAGTCTTTGTTTTTGAAAAACAAAAATCAAAAGCAGTAACTGTTTTATATGGAAATGTGTCTTGATAATATTACCTATTAAATGTGTATTTATAGTACCTCCTATCAAACAATTACAGAGCACAATGATTGTCATCAGGTATATATGTATTTACTCTCTATTATTGGTCATAGAGGTGGCTTCTGCTCCAGAACTCTATCCACTGTATTTCTACATCGTGAGTCATTTTACTTTAAAAGGGAAAAACAAATTTGTAGCGACTATGAAGTATCAAAAATTTTAACTACGTGTCACTCTTTTGCTAAGAAGGGATTTTTGAATATGCTATCTACCTGGAATCTTTCTCTCAACAAAATGTATATGCCTTCAGGAATGATATAGCCTGTCCCATTTTCAGAGGTTCCTTATAAGGGCATTTCCATGTATGTCCTTACATTTCTGAAAGGTTTCAACCTTCAAGAGACAAAAAAAATTCAAATAACTACCCTCAGCAAACACTAGCTGTTCTGCTCAAATATGAATTTTTAATGCAGCAATGTTGACTTTGTTTCATACTGCCAATAAACTCTTAATACTAAACACTGAGTAAAGCATATTCTTTTTTTTTTTTTTTTCTAGTTGGAAAGAGGCCATCATCTGTTTGGGGAAGACCAAAGTAGATAATGTGATGGGTTTAATTTTAGTGTCTGCATCTCCCCAGTGAAGATGACGATCTCAAAATGTAATATTGTCATCACTTGGGAGATAATGATCTAGAAGTGCCATCATTATGTGGTGTTTCTCAATAGACTTGCAGTGTATCATTATACAAACAGTACGTGTTTATGTCTTTATATCACTTGTCATAGACCCTCATGAATTACATGGCTTGTGTTTATTCAGCAGAATCACATCACCTGAAGAGATGTAATGTTTCAGGAACATTCAATTATCTAAGATTACAATTCCTTTCTTTCTTCTTGAGGTTAAGAAGTAGTCACACGCCAAAGGAAAGGTAGGTAAGGTCTTAATGAGATTTACTCTGCTCTTGAAGGCTGGAATATTTTCTACATAAAAAAAAAGAGAGGTAATCATAATCCCTTCTTTCTAAGGAAACAGACAAAAGGACACTGGTGTAAAACTTCCCCAAACAATTCAATAGGAGGAAGTGCTCGTCACTGACTTTTCCCCCCACCATGAAGGCACATTTCCTTCCTAGTCTTTGCTTCTCTTATCTGGGAGAATTTTTTTTTTTCCCAAGCGAAGCATGAACAGTTGCTAAGTGGAAAATGGAGGCTGAATTTTACATGGTGATTCTTACCTGCTTGATCTTCAGGAACTCAGGTGAGTGAGTCTGCCTCAGTTTCCTGAGGCATTTCTTCCAGATCTAGCCAAGGAGTCTCTGGTCTTTGAAAAGTGTCTAAAATGAGGTGGAAGGGGCCAGGTCTCCATGGCAGTTTAGCCAAAGACGATGAAAAGCGGGAATAAAAGGAGCCAGCTATGCCCACACTGTTGAGATTTCTCTCCAAAAGAAAATAAATGCTCTCCTCTCATCCTCCAATGCTTGAGGCAGCCCCTGAAATGATACATTTAGAGCAGAGCATAAAGAACCCCGAGGAAAAGTCTGTGTTATGTAAACAGTCTGTGGCTTTCCCCAAGCCTTTTTCCAACCCGGTTATAGTTTTATTTTCTTTTGTGTTAAAGAAAGAAAATGGAAGAAATATGATTAAAGTGGGTGACGAAATGTAGTGTGTTTTATTTGGAAGTTGTCATTTGGCAAGGCTGAACATTTTCATGAACGAGCTGGGCAATTTAAGTAAAACCTCATTGAAAATCGTTTCTGAGCCAGAATATCTTGCATTTTAATACTTATGTTTAGCAATTGGATGTTTAATTTTCTTACATTGGAAAATGATGATTTTTAAAAGATCTATTAGTATTTGAGAGAAAACTGTAGATATTGTCATAAAATAGAGAAATGTTCCTCTCCATGACTAAAGGAAATTTAGTTTGTGATAATCAATACTTTCATGGGCTGCAATTAGCTAGGAGGTTGTGCTTGGAGAAGTGGGAACATTTGTTTTATTTTTTGATAAATGTATGCAATTTTTTAAAATTGTTATTCAAACTATGAAATTTGTATACAAATACTGCAATGTGAATTTAAAGACTGGAAAAGGGGGTACCTTTTTAAGGTAGGGGAGGAAGGTTATATCGAATATGTCAAATGTTTAAAAAGGGAGCTGAGCGTTTCATAACTTCAGAATATCTAACTAATTGGGCTAAAATATACTGTATACTTTGGATGATTTTGTTTCTTTCCAAGCTTCCTTTCATTTTCCAATAAAAGGTGTGTTTTTGTCCCCTAAAGCATGTGAAAATTTAAAAAAAAAAAAAAAAAAAAAGATGGGGCGTTAAGTGTGACATGTTGACATTTTACATCATCAGCTTTGGAATTTTAAATCACGTGTTAAATATGACAATATTCACTTGAAATGATAGCAATAACAAAATATAAGTAAACTAGTGATTTTATTCAGCTCATTTGTGGGTGGATTCTTCCGTTTTCTAATGGGCCTCATAATTTGCTACCTAGTGCTTTATGAGCTTTTCATCTTCCAGAAGGGTTTCAGATTGTCCATGTCCAGAAACAACAGTGTCTTTTCAAAAATGAGAAAGTGGTCGTGGGCTCATGCAATAGGACCATCCAGAACCAGCAGTGGACATGGACTGAGGATGAAAAGCTCCTTCATGTTAAATCTGCACTATGCTTGGCCATCTCCAACTCCTCTCGTGGCCCCTCCCGCTCAGCCATCTTGGACCGGTGTTCCCAGGCACCCCGATGGACCTGCTATGATCAGGAAGGCTTCCTTGAGGTGGAAAATACGTCTCTCTTTCTCCAGAAACAAGGCTCCAGAGTAGTGGTCAAGAAGGCCAGGAAATACCTCCATAGCTGGATGAAAATAGACGTCAACAAGGAGGGAAAACTGGTCAATGAAAGCCTCTGTTTAAAAAAAGGTGAGCTATTCCTTTCAGAACGAATCCTGAAAGTCTTTCTACTAAATATCTTGGGTTTTTTTGTTTTGTTTTGTTTTGTTTTTCTACATTTAAGGGAAGTCCACATGCCCCAACATATTTCCTATGGAAGATTCGTAAGCTAATGGAGGTGGATGGTGAAGTGCCCAATGATGGAAGACTTCATTACCCTCATTAAAATAAGCCCAACTTTTTCTATTGCTTGTTCTTCCTTCCCTTCTTGTCTTGCTTCTTTTATTAATTCCACAAATATTTCATGAGCCTCTCTTCTCTGCCAGATAATATGGTTAAGCACTGTTAGATGTAGGAATATGGATCTAGGCATATACACAGCATACATATGTAATGACTAAAGTCAGTAATCAGGAAATTGTTAGATTTTATTGACGGACACTTCTATTTGCTGATTATAAGAAATTATTAGAACATCAGAATGGTGCTTGATAAGACTGGAAGATAGATGTGTTTTTGCAAATCTCTTTTATTGATATCTTTTGGTGGTAACATGCTTTTGAAATGTTAAGAATCAATGGGAAGCCATAGATTTTTCTAATTTATTGACCATTAATGGATATAACCCAGATAATGGACACAGGTAAAAACACATGTTATATACATGCGCGAGCTCCTGGTGCAGGACACAGATCAGTCCTGAGCTAGGAATTTTTCTTGTGGAATATATAGGCAGTTTAATCTTCTCTTGAAGTTAATCATGTTATTGTGTATTTACTCCTCTATTAGAGGTTTGCTTTAGGAAGTCATGAAAGATAAAACTGATGAATCACAATGTATTAGGCAACAATGGACCTTACAAAGTATGGGAAAAGTTATCAAGAAATGAAGCGCCTCACCAAGAAGACAAATTTGTCAGGGTTAAGTAATTTGTACCAGATCTATGATTAGAGCCTAAGTTTTTTAACTCTTTGTTCAGTGTACATTTCACTATACCAGAGATTCTTAGATGCTTGACCGCAGACTTGCCCCATGGCTTGCATAAGAATCACGTCGGGTAGAAAAGGGAGGGCTTACTAAAAATACACATTCCCGTAGCTAATGCATGCTGGGCTTAATTCCTAGGTGATGGGTTGATAGGTACAACAAAGCACCACGGCACACATTTACCTATGTAACAAACCTGCACACCCTGCACATGTACCCCAGAACTAAAAATATAGATTAAAAAAATACACATTCCCAGGATTCTTTCCCACCATTTTTTCCTCTACAACCACCTCCAAGATTCTGTTTCAGGAAATCTGGATTTGTGCATAATACTTGATATTTATTAATCACCAGAAAATTTTGATCCATAATCAAATACGGAGATCAGCATCCACTGTATTGTTAAGTCTTTTCATTAGGTATTGATTTTTGAGGCTTAGATTAGTTTTTCCACATGGTAACTTTGAACAATTTTTTCTCATTCATTCTGTAAGTTAAAACAAGCATTTAACTAGATACCAGTTGAACGTGTTACGCTTTTCTACAATAAGCTGTATGCTTTGTTACAATAAAGGTTGAGAGTTACAGTTTCTATTCTTATATCATTTCTGCTTATGAGAATAAGATTAAAAAACCAATTAGAAAATTCAACTGTATCAGAAAATATTCAGCATATAGCACCAATTTGTACAATACCTTTCCTGTGGTTCATCTATCAAGGCCTCTCCTAAATAATATAGAAACATTATAACTACTCCATTTGTAATATCCAGTGTAATGGAACATTACAAATATTCCGTTTGGAATATAACCATTCCATTTGTAATCTTCACAAGAAGTGAGATTCATCCCCAAAGCCCAATCAAACCTTATCTAACATAAGATTACTTAGTTGGAACTTTTAAAAAAAAGTAGATATGTACTCAGTGGTGAGTTATTCAAGATAAAAGATCATTCATAGAAAAACTACCTCCTATGACCCTCATACAAATGTCTAGTGATGGACTTCAAAAATAAGGTACTTAGAATAAGCCATTTGCAATTAATCACTGAACAGTGCTATATTCAAGAAAATGCCTGATAATATGTGTTGGGGAAAGAAATGAATTTCTAGAAAAAGCAGAAGTTAAAATTTGCACAATTGTGGTACAAAAACACCCTTATATTTGTGTATACATAAGTATAACACATACTTTTGCTTTAACACAATTATAAGCTAACAGATACATTTTTCTCCTCCATCTTAAATGCCATTGTGGGGTTTTTTTGTTTTTTGTTTTTTGTTTTTAGAAACAAAGTCTTGCTCTGTTGTCCAGGCAGGAGAGCCATGATGTGAACATAGCTCACTGTAACCTCCAACTCTTGGGCTCAAGTGATCCTCCCACCTCAGCCTCCCAAAGTACTGGGATTACAGGCGTGAATCACCATGCCCAGCCCTGATAAAAGATTAAGAATGATACTTGTAGACCTATATCATGAGAGCTCACTGACTTGCTAGAGTACCTACTGTGAAAAATTAACCGAAATGCATTCATATGTTTGCAATGAATGATTCCAAATCATTGTTTAAGTTGATAACTAAGTATTATAATCTAAAGCAGCACAAATACATGTGTTGTTCATCCATGGGATGTGAATTTTTTTGTGTGTTCTTCAGTAAAAGAAAGCAGACCTATGAAGGTAAAAATTTAAACCACATGTTTCATATTTTTTTCATAAAAGACACATTAATGATTGTATTCAAGTTTCCAGGTAATATTTATTTAACACCTACTATGTGCCAGAGCTTGTGCTAGTACTAAGGTACCCTCCACTCGGGATTTTTAACCCAAGCTGCATATTAGACTCACATGGCAGCTTTTAACTAATACTGGAGTACAAAACCTGGGCTTTATTCTCTAAGCTGACTAAATCAGGTATTGTATTTTTAAAGTACTTTCTAGGTGATTCTGATGTGCAGCCAAGGTTGAAAATCATTAAATACGTCTTATTCCTTAGAATAATGGGGAAATCAGATAAGTAAATAAATAGGTAATTGCAATAGGATATAGAGAGAAGAAAGTACTTTCCTTTCCAATATATGTCCTTGCCAGTATGTCACATTAAGCACTCATTCTTTTTTTTAAACAATTATACTTTAAGTTCTAGCGTACATATGCACAACGTACAGGTTTGTTGCATAGGTACACATGTGTCATGTTGGTTGGCTGCACCCATCAACTTGTCATTTACACTAGGCATTTCTCTCAGTGCTGTCCCTCCCCGAGCCCCTCTCCCCTGACAGGCCCTGGTGTGTGATGTTCCCTGCCCTGTGTCCAAGTGTTCTCGTTGTTCAATTCCCACCTATGAGTGGGACATGCGATGTTTAGTTTTCTGTCCTTGCAATAGTTTGCTGAGAATGATGGTTTCTAGCTTCATCCATGTCCCTGCAAAGGACATGAACTCATCATTTTTTATGGCTGCATAGTATTCCATGGTGTATACGTACCACATTTTCTTAATCCAGTCTATCATTGATGGACATTTGGGTTGGTTCCAAGTCTTTGCTATTGTGAATAGTGCCACAATAAACACATGTGCATGTGTCTTTATAGTAGCATGATTTATAATCCTTTGGGTATATACCCAGTGATGGGATGGCTGGTTCGAATGGTATTTCTAGTTCTAGATCCTTGAGGAATCACCAGACTGTCTTCCACAATGGTTGAAGTAATTTACACTACCATCAACAGTGTAAAAGCATTCCTATTTCTCCACATCCTCTCCAGCATCTGTTGTTTCCTGACTTTTTAATGATCGCCATTCTAACTGGCACGAGATGGTATCTAATTGTGGTTTTGATTGGCATTTCTCTGATGACCAGTGATGATGAGCATTTTTTCATGTGTCTGTTGGCTGCATAAATGTGTTCTTTTGAGAAGTGTCTCTTCATATCCTTTGCCCACTTTTTGATGCAGTTGTTTGTTTTTTTCTTGTAAATTTGTTTAAGTTCTTTGTAGATTCTGGATATTAGCCCTTTGTCAGATGGGTAGATTGAAAAAATTTTCTCCCATTCTGTAGGTTGCCTGTTCACGCTGATGGTAGTTTCTTCTGCTGTGCAGAAGCTCTTTAGTTTAATTATATGCCATTTGTCTATTTTGACCTTTGTTGCCATTGCTTTTGGTGTTTTCGTTATGAAGTCCTTGCCCATGCCTATGTCCTGAATGGTATTGCCTGGGTTTTGTTCTAGGGTTTTTATGGTTTTAGGTCTAACATTTAAGTCTCTAATCCATCTTGAATTAATTTTTGTATAAAGTGTAAGGAAGGGATCCAGTTTCAGCTTTCTATATATGGCTAGCCAGTTTTTCCCAGCACCTTTTATTAAATAGGGAATCCTTTCCCCATTTCTTGTTTTTGTCAGGTTTGTCAAATTTCAGATGGTTGTAGATGTGTGGTGTTATTTCTGAGGCCTCTGTTATGACCCATTGGTCTATATCTCTGTTTTGGTACCAGTACCACACTGTTTTGGTTACTGTAGCCTTGTCATATAGTGTGAAGTCAGGTAGCGTGATGCCTCCAGCTTTGTTCTTTTGGCTTAGGATTGTCTTGCCAATGCGGGCTCTTTTTTGGTTCCATATGAACTTTAAAGTAGTTTTTTCCAATTCTGTGAAGAAAGTCATTGGTAGCTTGATGGGGATGGCATTGAATCTATAAATTACCTTGGACAGTATGGCCATTTTCACAATATTGATTCTTCCTATCCATGAGCATGAAATGTTCTTCCATTTGTTTGTGTCTTCTTTTATTTCGTTGAGCAGTGGTTTGTAGTTCTCCTTGAAGAGGTCCTTCACATCCCTTGTAAGTTGGATTCCTAGGTATTTTATTCTCTTTGAAGCAATTGTGAATGGGAGTTCACTCATGATTTGGCTCTCTGTCTGTTATTGGTGTATAGGAATGCTTGTGATTTTTGCACATTGATTTTGTATCCTGAGACTTTGCTGAAATTGCTTAATAGCTTAAGAAGATCCAAAATCTCAGCCCAAAGCTGAGACTATGGGGTT